TGCGCGGCTCGAATGGCGGCACACGCCGGTAGAACGCGGCTCGAATGGCGGCACAACACGTCCGCCGATTTTTCTTTCTTATTCTCTCGGTGGCACCTCCCCTCCACACGCTTGGGCGAGGTGTGCGTCCCCTCCTGCTCCGCGTTTGTTCTCGCGAAAAAACCAATAGCCAAAGAAAGAAAAACAAACCCCACAACCGATGAGCGGCGCCCTCCCAACGCAGCTCGCCGACCTGGCGGTGGGCAAAGACATGGCGGTTCTCTTTTGGGGGCATGGGCCGATAATGCTCGCCGACCTCGCCGTGGGCAACCTGGCCTCGCTGCACGCCTTCCTCTCCGGGGAGCAGACGCACGGCACGTCGCTCGCGGCCCAGCTCGACGCGCGGCTCGACACCGAGAGGCAGGACACGCTGCTGACCTGGGCCGCTCGCCACGGGCAGGCCGGGGCGGTGCGGCTGCTGCTCGAAGCCGGCGCGAGCGTGGGGGCCGCTGACGGCGACGCCGCCTCGGCTCTCGTCCTCGCGTGCTGGCAGGGATGCCTCGAGTGCGCCCGGCTGCTCCTCGAGGCCAGGGCAGCGGTCAACCAAGCTGCTGCGGGCGGCTCCACGCCGCTGCTCGTTGCGTGCGAGGAGGGCCACGTCGAGTGCGCCCGGCAGCTTCTTGAGGCCAGTGCGGCGGTCAATCAAGCAGACGATGGAGGCTTCACGCCGCTGTACGTTGCGTGCGAGCTGGGCCACCTCGAGTGCGTGCGGCTGCTTCTCGAGGCGAGCGCGGCGGTCAACCAAGCAACGACCCGAGGCTCCACGCCGCTGCTCATCGCGTGCCAGAACGGCCACGTCGAGTGCGCCCCGCTGCTCCTCGAGGCTGACGCAGCGGTCGGCCAAGCCAATCAGGAAGGCGTCACGCCGCTGCTCATCGCGTGCGAGAAGGGCCACGTCGAGATCGTCCGGCTGCTTCTAAAGGCCGGCGCGGCGGTCGACCAGGCCGATGATGAAGGCGCCACGCCGCTGTTCATCGCGTGCCTGGAGGGCCAGCTCGAGATCGTTCGGCTGCTCCTCGAGGCTGGCGCGGCGATCGACCAGGCCGATGAGCAGGGCGCCACGCCGCTGTTCATCGCGTGCCACCATGGTCACCTCGAGGTCGTCAAGCTCCTCTCCTCCTACGGCGCATCCCGCGCCGCAACGCCGCCCTACGGCACGCCGGAGGTGCTCGCAAACCGCCGCGGCCACGCCGACCTCGCCGCTTGGCTGGTCGCCAGCCGCGGCTGGACGCCGCTCCAGCATCTCGAGGCGCTCACCGTCGACCGGGCGCGGGCGCTGCTGCGCGGCGGCGCAGACTCTTCAGCCGGCGAACCGTCGGCCCTCGAGCGGGCGCGCGTCCTCTGCTCGTGGGGCGAGTCGGATCCGACCGCTGCGGCCGTCGGTTCCACAGTCACGATCCACTCTCTCGTCTCGCGGCCCTCGATGAACGGCAAGGTCGGTGTCGTCGTTTCCGCGCATCCTCGTGGGCTGCGGAGGTGGCCTCCGCAAAGGCCTCCGGCAAGGTCGGCCCCGTCGTTCAAATTGAGCGTGGCGGGCGAGGCTTCTGGACTCCTTCTTGAGCCGGCCAACTTGCAGCCAGCGGCCGAGGCGGTGGAGGTGGGCAGGCTCATCCTCAAGGCGGCGGAGTGGTCACCGCAGTCGCACGCGCTCTTCCCAACAGCGGCTCGCAAGTGGGCGGTGGAGGTGATGCGGCTGGGCTACCTTATCGCGTGGGACGAGGAGCGCTTCGATGGCCGCGAGGGAGCGGCTCCAGAGCTGGCGGACATCTGGCGCAGCTTTGTGCTGCCAAGGGTGGTGGTGCGATGACGGCACATTATGTGTTTTCTTCGTGGCGCCAAACCCCGTTCGTGCATGATTGCGCGCGCGTCGACATTGCTCTGTCGGATACCGTTTCTTCTTTCTGTCACGGACACGGTGGTGTCGTCGCGGTCGGTGCGCACCTCCACCCCTCCACACACTTGTCACTTCTCACTTGGGCGAGGTGTGCGTCTCCTGCGCCGCACATGGGGAACGCATTTTTTCTTCTTTTGGCACAGTATATGAGCGGCGCCATTGATTCCCTCCACTTAGACTTGCGCCACGCGTCCTAAAACCTCTAAAAAACCTTCCAGGCCCTAGCTCACCGTGCCCCATATATGCATCCGCCCGACCGACCAGGGCTCGCGCTCCGCATCCTTGCCTGTGAGCGGTACATCTCGCGCCGATTGATGCCGTTGTTCTCATACGGGAAGCCGTGGTGGAGGACTTGCGTGTTGTCCCAGATGAGCAGGTCGCCGAGCTCCCACGTGTGGAAGTACGTGAACTCGGGCGTCTCTGTCGTGTGCGCCAGCAGTCTCGTCAGCAGCACCCTCCCGTCCTCAGCGCTCTCCATCCCCTCCACTTCCATTGCATGCGAGCCCAGGTAGAGGAGAGCGCCGCCGTCGAGCAGATGTGTCGAGAGCATGGGGTGGCTCACGTCGGGAAAGAGGGCAAGATCCTCCTCGGTCCCCTTGGCAAAGTCGGCGATGTTGCGCACCGACGCGCGGATGGAGCAACGTGCTGCCTCCTCGAGCAACGAGGTGGACAGCGTGGCGCGCGCAGCGCGCAAGTCGGCGAATCCGGTCTGGCCGCCCGACGGCGGCAGCGCAGCGCTATAGAGCATGGACATGATGTTATGCAAAGGCGCCTGCCAGAATTGGCCATCCTGGTGCCAGTACGTCCCGAAGACGCCTGCAGGACTCTTCCAGCTCCCGTCCGCCCAAAAATTTGTGACGCGCTGGATCGCTGGTTGGTTTGGCTCTGGGTCTCGGCCCTCAAAGCTCGGCGGCAGGATGATCGTCTCGCCAAGCATGCCAGTGAATCTGACCTGTTCGGCGCGAGTGAGTTGCTGGCCTTTGATGACTATGATCCCGTGCGCACGAAGCGCGTCCAGTACCAGCCCCGCGCCCTCCTCGTCCAGCTCGCGCACGTCGCCAACGTCCACGACCGCTCCAAGCCGCTCTGAGCCACCACGCATCGATCCCTGCCGGTGAAGCGCGCACGGAAATCGCGGTGGAAGCGCACCGAAAAACTCTGTCGTTCCCAAGCGCTCTGCAGACGACAGAGCGCGCGCAGCTCGTGCCGCTGCGAGGCGGCCGACCATGGGGGGAGGGAGGAGAGGGCAACTGCGGGTCCACAAATTTTTTCCGAGCAATTTCGCGTTTTCTTTTATCTTTCTCGCTCCTTCTTTCGAAAACTTCGGCTCATTTCTTTAGAGGAGACAAGCAGCCTAGGAGACAAGCAGCCTAGGAGACAAGCAGCCTAGGAGACAAGCAGCCTAGGAGACAAGCAGCCTAGGAGACAAGCAGCCTAGGAGACAAGCAGCCTAGGAGACAAGCAGCCTAGGAGACAAGCAGCCTAGGAGACAAGCAGCCTAGGAGACAAGCAGCCTAGGAGACAAGCAGCCTAGGAGACAAGCAGCCTAGGAGACAAGCAGCCTAGGAGACAAGCAGCCTAGGAGACAAGCAGCCTAGGAGACAAGCAGCCTAGGAGACAAGCAGCCTAGGAGACAAGCAGCCTAGGAGACAAGCAGCCTAGGAGACAAGCAGCCTAGGAGACAAGCAGCCTAGGAGACAAGCAGCCTAGGAGACAAGCAGCCTAGGAGACAAGCAGCCTAGGAGACAAGCAGCCTAGGAGACAAGCAGCCTAGGAGACAAGCAGCCTAGGAGACAAGCAGCCTAGGAGACAAGCAGCCTAGGAGACAAGCAGCCTAGGAGACAAGCAGCCTAGGAGACAAGCAGCCTAGGAGACAAGCAGCCTAGGAGACTTCATTCATCCTTAGGGGGGGGCATCACAGCCTAGGAGACATCACAGCCTAGGAGACTTCATTCATCCTTAGGGGGGCTTCTCTTCACAGGTGCCTTTTTGGGCCGCATAGGCCCCCATTAGGGCCCCTTTTTAGGATTCCTTCGGGCCAGATTCGACCCCAGGCCTTTGGGGATCCTTGCAGGCACCTTTCCCGCTCGGCTATTTGGCCCCACCCCCGCCCCACCGGCACATGCAGCGCCCAAAGTAGGCGTCGACGTTCCAAGTCTCCGCGTCCTCAACCAGCTCTGTGTTGAGTGCTGGAGGCGTCCCTGCAGGCACTGGTCTCGAACCGAGCCGGTAGCGCCTTCGTCCGGGCCCACGGCCGGCACGCCATCAAATTTGCTCGCCGATTCCTTCCGCGCGCTCGGCCGCCACCGCGGCGCCTCCGAGAGCGCCTTTTCGACACGCTGCAGCGGCGGGCCGCGGCACCTCGACACACCGCCTATCGCGCCGCCTCGAGGTGCTCCAATCGTGCACGCGGGTCGGCTCGGCACGGTGCGTGCGAATTATCGCATGTATTCGCACTCGCTGCGCCACGTATCTGCCTCTGACGGCCCGATACGCCACCCGAAGCGCCACCGGTCCACACACGCGGGGCTGCGCGACTCTCTCGCGGCCCACCGCCCTCCCACACGCCGTTCGACCTCCACACAGGCGCTTACTCGAGCCTCGCCGCGCCGGCGGTCCTGCGCGTCCAGATCTCGGCTACCGACTCCCGCCACGCACCAGCTCTGCTCCTCTCCCGCGCGCGCCCGGCTGCTGGCATGGCGAGGCGAGTGAGGCTGGCGCTCTGCGACCGGTGGAGCGCCGCGCGGGCAGCGCACTAGCCTCGCACGCACCTCTCCACTGCCTCTGAATTTGTTTGTTCATCTCAGCTCAGTCCTCAGAGTGTTTGCGCGTCGCGTGCGTGCGTGGTCGATGTGGTCTGTGCCGCTTCCTTTGAGGTGTGTGTGGTTTGACCCAGTGTGTGTCACTAGACACTACACCTGTGCGTATACGTGTGCCAGTAAGGCCGACGCATCCGTATAATGTGGAGGCAGGTGCGGCTGCGCCGCAAGACCTCTCAGCCCGTCAGTTACAAACCCTCTGGGCGACCCTCGCCATCCCTCTCGCTTGTCCAGGGGATGTGCGGGGCATGAGCCGCTGCCAACTGTGCGCTGCTAAGACTCCGCCGCGGTCTCGAGATCTCGTGCCTCTTGACCCCGCGCTAGGCGGTCTTCTGCCGGAGTCGTTGCAGCCCTACGCCGACGAGAGGTGGCAAACGCTCACCGGCGGACCGTGCGTGCCTACGGGCCTGATCCACCTCGCAAAGTGCAAGAGGAGGGTGCTTAACGCGCAGGCCAAGGAGGCAGCACCAGAGGCGGAGGGCTTGCGACTGCACCTCTCGCACACCAGTAGCACCGGGTACAGAGGAGTGTGGCGGCTCGCCTCTGGCCGATTTGTGGCGCACCGGGACCGTGCGCACCGGAGGACGATGCGCCCGGCGGACGGAAAGAAGGCGTCCATCGGCTACTTCGACACGGCAGTGGAGGCGGCGGTGGCGTATGCGCGGGCGGTCGGCGAGGCGGCGGCGGCGGCGGGCGAGGCGTCCGACTCGGACGAGCGCGAGCCAGGCGGCGAAGCTGCGGCTGCCGAGAGCAGCGACGCGGGCGAGCCAGCCGAGCGCCAAGCGGCGGAGGTGGTGGCAGAGGCGGAGGGCTTGCGCTTGCACCTCTCCAGCAACAACAGCACCGGCTACAAGCGCGTGTCCAAGCAGGCCTCGGGCCGCTTCAAGGCGCAGCGCCAGGGGTATGTCACTATCGGCACCTTCGACACGGCGGTGGAGGCGGCGGTGGCGTACGCGAAGGCGGCCGGCGAGTACCAGCCTCCTGCTCAACCTCCTCCGATAGTGGCGACAGAGGCGGAGGGCTTGCGTCTGCACCTCTCGAGCAGATGCAGCACCGGCTACTTAGGCGTGTTCGAGCACCGCTCCTCTGGCCGCTTCGAGGCGCGGCGCAGTGTGGACGGAAGGCAGGTCACCATCGGCTACTTCGGCTCGGCGGTGGCGGCGGCGGTGGCGTACGCGCGGGCGGTTGGTGAGGCGGCGGCGGCGACGGCAGGAGAGGCAGGGCCGTCGGCAGCGGCGGCAGGCGAGGCGTCCGACTCGGGCGAGGGCGAGCCAGGCGGCGCTGGCGGCGAGGCTGCAGCCGGCGAGAGCAGCAGCGAAGAGGAGGAGGAGGCTGCCTCGACGCCCCTCCGAGCTCCGAGCTGCAAGACGCTTGGCTGCAACCTCCGCCTCTGGCACGAGGGGCCTTGCAGCACCGCCGTCACAGGCAAGCGGGCGCGAATTCTCACCGACAAGGCGCGGGAGGCGAAGCGAGGCAAGGGCGGCGGCGGGCGGCGCGGCGGCGGCGGAGGCGGCAGCAGCAGCGTGCTGCTATCACCCTCGAGCGACGGCGCGCCTTCGCCGCCCGACGCAGAGGCGCTGAGCGATAGCGACGAGGTGGAGGAGGTGGCGCCGCCGCGTCAAAGCTCCGCCGCCGCCGCTCCTTCGCTCGCAGGCGGCGACGTGCAAATCTCCGCCGCATCAGGCGCTCCCAAGCCATACCCGTCATGACTTCTGTCAGATGCACTCTCACCCTCCCTTGCTTGCGCCGCACAGGCCTGCTGCCCGAGCATTTGCCGCACCAGCGGGCGCTCTGCCCACTCCATCCCTTCCATGCGGCCGAGAGGCCGGTCGCGGCGCCAATCGATGGCAACGAGGCGGTTTGCCCCAACTGCTATTGCTTCGCGTGCGACGCGCCCGTGTCCGCGTGCCGCCACTGGCGGGGCGGCGAGCCTAGGGTGCCGGCGCACTGCAACGCGCACGCCGACAGCGCCGAGTGGCGCACGCATCGCTCCAACGCCAAGCGGCAGCGCACGCGGGCGGCGCGGGCGGCGACGGACCCGCTCGGGCTGGGCTGATACTATCATGTCTCTATCTTTGGGCAACACTGTGTGCATCTTAGCAGCGCTGACACGCCGCACCCTGGGGCCGTGCCCGCGGGCCGCGCAGTCAGTGCGGCGCTCAAAGTCAAACTCCAAAAACTCACCAAATATCCCTAGAGCATGTGGGGCGCGCGGGCTTTTTTTTATGTTCTCCCTTCTCACGTGTTGTTCAATTGCTCTCGTAGGTTGAGTCTGGCCCTTTCAGGGTTCACTCTACGATTTTCGTTGCGGCTCGTCGCTGTGCCGGGGATGGCGCAAATAGAAAAAGAAATCTGGCGCCGGCCAAGCGACTCACAGGACACAGCCCTCCAGCCGAGCAACTGTGTGCGAGACACCGGCCAGGGCTCTACGACCTACGTGACCTGCCCCGCGCCCCAGCGCTGCAATCCCAGCGCGGCTAGCGGCGGCGCGCGAAGGCGCGCATTCTCCTCGCGGAGCGCGGCGTTCTCCTCGCGCAAGGCAGCAACCTCCTCCCGCCCCGCCTCGATCAGCGAGCGCACCTCGTGCCGCTGCGCCTCGAGCTCGCGGATGAGCTCGACCTGCGCGCGAGCCGCGGGGAGCGGGGCGTGAGTGCGGGTCGGAGGGCTGTCATGTGAGGGTGGTGGCCGCAGCGGTGGGAAGGGGGGGGGGGGTGGCGAGGGTGGCGGCGAGGGCGGTGGAGGTGAGGGCGGTGGCGGCGAGGGCGGCGGCGAGGGAGGAGGCGGCGAGGGCGGCGTCTCGGTGGAATCTCGGCGAAGAGCCGTCGTGGCGAGACGACCTGCACGACCGCGCATCTCTTTGAGCAAACTCGGAAGCCTCGGGTCATCTCGGGCCATCTCGGGCCATCTCGGGCCATCTCCGAAGGCCTGCACTGCGCGCATCTCCTCGCGCAAACTCGCGCGCAGCTCGAGTAGCGACCCGTCGAGCGCCGCCTACAGGAAGGTTTCAGGAAAGCTCCAAGAAAGCTCCAAGAAAGGTCTGGAAAGGTCGACGGGCAGACGTCGAGCGCCGCCAGAGAGATGCCCGCACCACCCTCGGCCAAAGGGGTTGCTCCGGCGGCGGCGTCCGCGGCGGCGGACGCTGCGGCCGCCGCCGCGGCCGCCGCGGCGTTCGCAGCGGTCGGCGAATCGCAATCCCGAGCCGGCGCGGGCGGCGGGTGCGGCGGTGTCGGCGCGGCGACGCTTCGCGCGGCTTCCTTGAGCCAGTCGGGCGTCGCGCCTACTTTCCCTCGACGAGGTCATTGTCGCTCCCTTGCCGTAGCCGTGGCGCGGCATCTGGCAGCGCGAGCGCCACAGGCACGAGAAGCACGCGCCGCCGCCGCCGCCGCCCCACCGCCCGCCGACACGACTCGCGGGCCGGAGCTGGCCGGAGACATGCCGACCGTGGCGGCCCAGCGCGCGGGATTCGCCACCGCCGCCGCCCCTGCGGCCGGCTCCGCCTCCGCCGCGGCACCGTGCGCCGCCACCGCGGCCGCTCGCGCCGGCGGCGGCGCGGATGCGCGGAGCAGCGGGGAGGAGCTGATGCCGCCAAAGGATGGCGACGGGCGGGGCGAAAGAGAGCCGCCCAACAACGCGCCCGAGCAGACCTCCCGGGGGGTCCCCTCGGCGGCGGCGGCGGCGCCGACGGCTGCGGCGGCGGCTGCGGTTGCGTTTGCGGCGGCGGTTGCGGCGGCGGCGGCGGCGGCGGCGGCGGCTGCGGCGGGCGGCGTCGTCGCAGCCTCCGCCGCAAACGCAGCCGCGCGTACCGCGGCAGCCTTAACTGCCAACGACGCCTCGGCAGCGGCCGAGGGCAGCTCGGCGGCGGCGTCGGCGGCGTCGGCGGCGGCGTCGGCGGCGGCGTCGGCGGCGGCGGCGTCGGCGGCGGCGGCGGCGGCCGGCCGCAGCAACGGCGTGGC